TCGTCTCTTCCTTTTGCTTCTTTCCGCCGTTTCCCTGTGGGAAGCGCCAAGGTTTTATCTCCTTCTCCTTCCGGGGGGAGCAGCCGGCCGAGGCGTCCCGTAAACAGCGGGTTCGGAAGGAAGGAGGCCGCGGGGGTCGCTGCCTCCTCCCCAGCCGTGCTTCAGACACCCCCGGGCCCTGGGGGGTGTCCGTCGGGTTTAGTGCTCCTTTAGGGCTTTCGGGTTACTTATTTTGTCCCCAGACAGATCCTGTAAGTGTTATCTTTAGTGGGTTTTTTCGGTTATTTGGGTGTTTCCCGCCCTCTCCCAGCTGGGAGCCTGCGCGGGCAAGGCTTTTGGCTGTGGCTCCGCCTGTTCTTGCCTGCCCTCTTCCTCCTCCTCCTCCTCCTCCTCCTGGCGCTGGGCGGCTGCGGGGGTGGTCACATGCTGGAAAGGGATCAGGGAGCCAGGAGGCTGAAGGCTTAACCTGTGCTTGGGGTAACATCAGTGCCCTTTGGGGTTTCTTTTTTAAGGTGTTTTGGTTTCTAGCAGCTGTGGTTTTGACTCATCTTAATCAAATGAAACCTGTGTTTGATGTAATTAGGACACTTACTAGATTTTTCTTAATGTCAGATTGTATGGCATCGTCATCTCTCTTGCTTTAATCTCCCTTCCTCCCAGTGTTGCCTGTAATATTACCTACTTAGAGAGGTTATGGCATCCACGCTAGCTGTGTTTTAGGATGCAGAGATGGATCGTAGCCGGTCTTGCAGTAAGTAACGTGGTCCAACATGTTTTCCTAAAGCTCTCTCTGTGAAGGTGTGTGCTGATCTATCCTAGTATTGCAGAAATGGTAAATTTGCCTGTTCCCATGAGACCAAGGACGTTGTCCTAAGGAGGATCGCTGTCTTTTTGCGGGAGGTGTGAGCTGTTAGCTCTGCTATTAATTCTGTGATAGGGAAGAATGAGGTGAGACATCTTGGTTGCTGGAGTGTTGGTCCTTCACACTTGCTTTCAGAGATTTAAAATTATAGCTGGCCTCTGAAAATGAGGGATGAGGGACAGAGGGCATCTTTATACTCTTGCTTCTGGATTTTGTGTTGGTGACATAAGGAGTGCCACTTGTAAATGTTTAGGTCTGCAGTAAAAGGCCACCTTAGCAGGCAGGTATTTCAGCAAGGGCTGTTTACAGTCAAAGACTGGGCTAATTAAAAAGTATCAAATAGGTAAGGGCGGCCTGTTTGCACTCCTCTATGGTTGGGCAAGTGTGGTGTTCACAGTACTAAAATAAAACTGATTATTGCACTCCTCTATGGTTGGGCAAGTGTGGCATTCACAGTACTAAAATAAAACTGATTGCTGGTTGAAATAACCCTTGATGACTGGTTCCTTCACTGCAGGCAGCTGTCTGTAGGTAGAGTAACACTGGGGAGCAAATCTACATTGTCATGGTTAATATGAAGTCCAAACTTAAGTCTAATCCCAAAACTTCTTTACCTCTCTTTCCTTGTGCTAGTGTCTAGAAGAATGATATGCCTCATTTGTCTTGAGGCTTATGCTGCTTTCTGCCATGGTAAGGAGAAGTTCTGAGTTTAAAACCAGTAAATATCCCAGTGAATAGAATCACAGAATCATTATGGTTGGAAGAGACCTCAGAGATCATCAAGTCCAACTGTATACACGATGCCACCATGCCCACTAAACCATGTCTTGAAGCGCCACATCTAAACGTTTTTTGAACACCTCCGGGGATGGTGACTCCACCACCTCCCTGGGGAGCCCATTCCAATGCCTAACGACTCTTACAGTGAAGAAGTTCTTTCTAATGTCCAGCCTGAACCTCCCCTGGCGCAACTTGAGACCGTTTCCTCTTGTCCTAGTCAGCAGTCTGGAGTAGGATGGGGTCTGCCCTCGTCTTCTTGCTCTGGACCATGGTTGGTATCACTTGGGAGAAGAGCAGCCAAAACTTGATTGGAAACTTTGAGTTTCTTTATCTCCTGAAGCAAGCAAGTCCCAGCATGGGACAATACAGGATGCTGAGAGGGGAAACTTGAGCTGTTTGAGCATTCATAATGGCTATGTACGTTCAGCTTGAGATGTATTGAATGACTCTGTCCTGGCCTGGAAGGAGCAGAGATGCATAGCACTGAGGCAAGTTCCTGGTCCACAAGGGAAGGTTTTTTCCCTCCACCCATATATAGTTTTGCCTTTACTTTTTTAAAAAAAGGTAAAAGGTACTACTAGAAACTGAAATAACCAAAGCTATTTGGCTGAATGTCAAGTCAAAGCCCCAGTACTTGGCACCAAGGTGACAGGTAAGGGCTGCATGCTCTCTAGTGAAGGCAGAGAATGGTTTGCCTGGCACTTGGTACCACTTTCTTCCCTCTGAACTGCTGCTTCTTTCTTGCCTGGGTTCAGTTTGAACTACTGCTGCAGGTGTTTTGTCGTGTCAGTGGCTGAATCACTTAACTTATTACTGGGATGCCGCAGCTTTGTTATTGCCTCCAACTGTAGTTGGACAGAAACAAGAATAGCAAGGATTTTTGCAGTACCTGTATAAAGTGTGTGAGAGGGACTTAAACTGTCACTTTTTCCACCTTTTCACATAAACATACTAATACTTGTGGCATCTCTCAGGAGCGATGCTCAAATACTGGTATTATATCTTAAAGACTAAAGTTCCTGAAGCCTCAGTGTGATGCTGGGAGGAAGGTTAGTGTCAGATTACGCAGGGTCTGAGTTCTCATATAAAGATGTGACAAGATTTTACTTAGAATTTAAAAGCTTGTCTCAAAATACTAACCTAGGTGTCTTTTTTTCCCAAAGCTTGATTTGTTAACAGGAAATTGCTGTAACTTTGTACTTTACTTTGAGAGCTTACCTGTTATTACTCTTTGCCCTCCCCTTCTGTTCCAGGGTTCTTTGGAAATAACACAGAGTTTGGAAGATGATCCTCTACTGGATGCACCGCTTATCTCATCTCATATGTTGCATTCTCAACTGAGGCCAAGATTTCATGCGATCCCAGCAGTTCTCCTTGCCAATTTTCTGTTGCTAATACACGTAAGTTATAAGGAAATCATGCTGCTTCTTAAAAAAATTTGTTGTCTGTATTCTGAATTCTTACTGTTCACATGGATGGAATTCTCCTGGGACTTGCATACGGTGTTCTTCCAAACCAGTGGAGTCCTATTTGCCAAGGACTTTTGAAAATGTATGATACTTGCTGCATTCTCATTATGATTGTCAGTGCTGACATGCTATGACATCTTGTTAGGAAGAAAAGCCTTTTAAAGTTCTCCTATGCTGTTGGAAATGTCCTTTTAAAATAATATTACTGCTGTAGAAGTGCTTATACTAGTGATAGAGGGCTAAGATATTTTGATGCTGTGCCTTTTGGAGGCTGAACTTAAATTTCAGAGGGAAGCCTTAATGTATTTCTTAGGGTAACTAAACAAGTCAAGTTGGACTTGCTGTGGGGGTCTGGCATGGTAGCGGATGGAGAGGGAAAGGAATCCAAGTGTTGCTTCCTACTCTGACTTCTGGGGCTCCAGGGTGAAAAGCACAGATAAAGAACAGATCTTGTACCTAACAGTGTGAAAGGCTTTTTGAGGCTGGTAGAAGTAGAGAGACTCCTGCCTAGTACTGAGTTTATCCTTGATAAGCTGAAGAGGCTTATTGTTGCTTGTGAGCGTGTGGAGATGAAACATGAAGAAGGAAGGGTAAAGAGTTCTGATCCTAAGGTTTAACTGAAGTGATACTTGTCTGGCACTTAAGGACATGGTTTAGTGGTGGACTTGACGGTGTTAGGCGAACAGTTGGACTCGATCTTAAGGGTCTTTTCCAACCTAAATGATTCTATAATGACACTGACACTGACCTGACGGTAGTGTGTGTATAAAGCCAGAGCATGCACAGGACATGCATGTATGTGTTGCTAATTGTTTTAGAGCTTCATTTGATCTCAGACAAAAAAATGCAGTGCCCAGTGCTCTGCAGAATATACTCTCTGCCAGAACTTTAAAAGCACGTGCCAACCTCTAAGCTCTCTCGGAGCAGCTGCATAAAGCTGTTCAAACAATATGCCCTAGCCTTCTAATTTTAGAAGTAAATGTTTTGTGGGCCTCTTAGTAATATCAAGAAATGTCCCTCTGTCTGTCACGTAGACTTAGAAGAGACTTCTGCTGAAGAAACTATCCAAATTCCTGATGGAAACTGTATCCAGCCTTACTCCTGTTCCCTACCAGAAGAGCTCTGGTGCCATCCCATTAGGACGGCACTTCAAGTTTGCATTGCGAAGGTAGACACTGCTGTTGGTAGTAGAGCAGTAAACGTTCTTCTGCCCAGCCTTGGGGGCCTTGCTGTCTGCTACTGTAACTGATATGGCCAAGTGTCAGTCACCCAGATGTAGGAAACTGCTGCCTCTTCTGTCCCCACCACTTCGCCTCCCCTGTAAATGGGGAGAAGTGTGGAGAGGTGAAGAGAGAGAAAACTGCTGAGGTGACTGCCAACACATGCTTTTCCAGGTAAAGTCTTGCTGCTATTGCTGACCTTGCTGCGGTGGCCGGTCAGTCCTTGGAGCAAAACGAAGTATCCTTTCTCAGTTGGTGAAACACAACATTAGAATTGCCACCTGAAATGGTGCTGTCTCTCTTGCTGAAAAGATGGATGGGGAAAACAAGGTTATGGGGTTTCCTTCCCCTCTGTTTCTGCAAATGTGCACAAACCTTGTGGAACGTGGAGACGCCAGGGTTGGCGTCTGATGTACAGCCTGCCAAAGGGGCAGGTATCCTGGAGAAGTTAAACCATCACAGTATTATGCGGTAGAGTTGTAATGCACCTCTGAAGTGATTTGTGTGTCACTTGGAGTGTTTTTTCTCCGCCCTCCTGTGCCAAGACATGGAGTTAGGTAGCGAATGGCTGCTTTGGTGCAGCTGCCCAGTTACACCGAGTTCTGGAGTGTATGGGTTGGATACGCCAGATTGCGGTGGGGCTGGGTTTTCGAGTGACTTTCTTTTTGCCAAGCCTTGCTTTTCTGCAGGCTTCTCTCTCTCCTGTCAGCAGACTCTGGAGAGCAGTGTCAAGTGTACAGGCTAGAAATAATTCCTTTATATTAACCCTGTCTTTCCTTAATCCCATCTGTATATGCACATACACAAGCTGAACTTTAATATTTCTCTTTCTAAGAATAACTCTTGGTACCTAAAAATCCCCTGTGCTGGGGTGAAGCACCTATTGTTGGACTGCCTTAAAATGTAAGCAAAGTATCTTGAATAAATGCCATTTTTAATGCCAGCTACCTGTTTCCTCTTATGTACACTGCTGTAATAGGTTCGGAGAGCTGCAGTGCTGGGCCCCTCCTGCTTGCACCAGTTTGATATAGCCATTTGCTGTACGGAAATACCTTCCTAACACCTGGAGGGGGTAAAACTAGATGTGTTAGTGTTTTTAAATGGCAAACCAAACAGTAAATGGACCAAATAAAATATGGGCTAGCTGAGTTATTCTTAGCTTTGTGAGAAAAGGAGGTGGGAAAAGAATAGATTAAACAAATATTTTGTTGATAAACCTCCCTCTTAACTTCTTAATCTAACAATTTAACCCATCTCAGGATAATTTGGGATTTAATTTGCATTTGAAGTAATGGTCCTATGGATAATAGAGGACACAGTCCCTTTTTCTCTCCCACCTTCTACCTTGTCTGTCCTGTATAACGTCTCTTTTAGGTATTGATGATTGTGTGAAAATTATTCCCCCATCTTCCCTCCTCAATTACCTGACTGTTCAGAACCAGAGCAAGCGAAGGGCAGTTCAAGAGTAATTAAGTGGTTTTGAAAGGTTACGTTCTGTGAAGAAAGTTGCTTGAGAAATGACTAAAATATGAACAATAAGTTCAAGGGAGTGGGAGGAGAGCAGTGGGCTCTTAGATGTCCATAGAATTAAGTATGGAAAAAAGCTAGCAAACGAAAATCAGGCACTTTCTTTCATCTTCAGTTCTGATGTGTTGTTTCTATCAGTTATGAGATGTAGAATATTGGACACTTTCTTTAAGCTAACTATATTAGAGGTATTAGACTTTTGCAGACTTGAGGCAAATTGGTTTTTTTTGTTGTATGTAGAAGCTCTTAATTTACTTCTGCATTGGTGGGGGTTGTTTTTGTTTCAGTTCTGTTTTTAAAAATTCCTGTCCTATAGAATGAACCAGGATGAGAAAGTATCGTATTTTCTTGTTCACTGATTGAAAACAGTAGAGTATTTTCTATGACAAAAGCATTCTGTAAAGATTAAAAAAAAGCCCTGTGTGTGTACATATACCACAGATAATGTGCACCCAAGACTCGTGCCTTCTAGCTGGCCAAAAAATTGCTGATGCTGGAAACTTGGAGAAAAGTCTAGGAGACAGGAAGAATTATGGCATTATGGCACTAGTCTGCCAGGATAAGAGTATATACTATCTGACTATAGTCTGGTCATTCTGACAAAGTTCTGAGCAAAATGGAAAAATCTGATAGTAAATATACTAAAGAATGCTTACCAACTGGCAAAGATGCTTACCCAGTGTTAATAAATCACTTTTAAGTTACTGTGTCCTAATGTCATAACCTGGGGATTAGCTTCAATGGATACTGCAAAGGGTCTATTTTCACTTTTGAAATGTCAATTAAAGAAATGTAGGCTGCACCAATAAGACAGGAGGCTGTCTGCGGAGCAGTAACATCTTCTTAGCCTGGTCTATTTTCACTTTTGAAATGTCAATTAAAGAAATGTAGGCTGCACCAATAAGACAGGAGGCTGTCCTGCAGAGCAGTAACATCTTAGCCTCATTCAATTACACTTGTGATTTCTTTTTTTTGAGGGAGTATAAATCGAGTTCCCCTTAAAGTAAAAAGACATAGTAAAGAGGGTCCAGAAATAAGATAAATTCACTATGAAGGGGGAGACTTGGGGAACAGTGAAACTGCTTTAGAGGAAAATCTGGGAAGAGTGGTGATTCTGAGCTCTGGACTGCTGGAGACTGGTTGCCTTCCTGGGACAGTCTTACTGCTTAGCAATTTTGGTCATCACTGTGTTCCCAGAATGACATGTAGTCGTTGTAGTAAGTGTCTAATCTTTTATACATTATCTCAACTCTAATAAAATCAATTTGGAAAGTAATGCATAATAAATAAATTACATAAGTCTGTCTTTTTTCTTAGTTAAATGTTGACTAAGTTTTTTTTTAAATCTCTTCCTTTCTCTTCCAGGTTGCTTTTGTTGTTCTAGCGTTTTTAGCAGCTATGTTTTGTTCTTACCCCAATCCAAATCAGGACAAGTGCCCTGGAAACTATACTCACCCACTTAAAGTGCAGACTGTCATAATCATTGCAAAAGTTATTCTGTGGATTCTGCATATTTTTTTTGAACGATACATCCAGCACCACCACAGTAAAGTCAGAAGCCGAGGTTACTTCTCAATATACCGATCAACGAGACATCTAAAAAGGCTTCCACTACTGATACACTCCACAGGTGAAGTTAACTTGGTTTTCTTGTTTTTTTTCTTCTAAAGCTTTAAACTATGACACAAAAGACTGAACAGTTTATATACAAATGTGTATTGTATTATAAACTCTTAAAGAAACTGCCTATAAGCATTTCTAAATTGTATTTATTTTAGTCAGATGGACCTCCTGCCTGACCTTTCTGGCCTGCCAGATGCATGTTGTAAAGAACTCTTTGTAGTGGAAAAATGCCCACAAGTATGAGGTTGAGTAAAACATCCAGTCTTCAGTCATAAAATGTTCAGCCAGCAAGGTCTGTGTTTGGCTGCTGGTGATCTCGATTTGCAGACTCATTTGTCTAGTTAGATATGTGGTGAGACTGCTAGTGCTTCCAGGAATTGCGCTGCTCTTTTCTGTTCGAGCTTAGCAATTTGTGTAGAAAGAGATGAGCTGCCTGTTGCTCAACAGCTGTCTGAAATGAGTAAAATAAGCAATTTTCTGATTGTCAGTGGGGCTATGTGTAACATCTCAGCTCTACTTCTGACTGCCTTTTTCTCCTTCCTATGGATAAAGGGTGGTGTCTGGGAATGGTTTAATTCTAGATATTCCAAGTTACATCACCGGCCAGTGAAGCTGAAAGGAGTGTTGGTACAATTAGCTGGTGTAGCTTCTCTAACAAACTGCAACAAATCTAAAATTAACCTGACTTGAGGGGATTTTTTGCACGGAAAAGGGAACAATGGTGGCTTTCACAGTATTTTTGCCTCTTATAATCCCATCTCCCTTCTGTCAGTCTTTTGAATAACTGGAGGAGAAATCTTTTTTCACCAGAATTGGTAAGTTAGATGGTTCTGCTTTATATAAAACCCTAGCTTGCTTTCCACCCAGTCACTAAAAGAGATGAATGTGCCAGACTTCAGGCTCTGGCCACTAGATAGAGCTCTGAAGATAAAGATGTGTTTGGAGCGCGGTGACAAAATCAGGCTACAGCAGGCTTATGGATGTTTCGAAGGAGGGTAAAAGGACTATTTCTGCCTATTGCGGTGGAATCTGGAATAGTTAGCCTTGTCTTCAGTCTTAGATGGAGCCCACCTCTCACCTGCCAGACAAATTCTGGGCATGTGTAAGCGTTTGGGTGCAATCTGTTGTGCCCTGTAGACTTCTGATCTATTTCTGCCTATTGCGGTGGAATCTGGAGTAGTTAGCCCTGTCTTCAGTCTGAGATGGAGCCCACCTCTTGGGCATGTGTAAGCGTTCGGGTGCAATCTGTTGTGCATTCTAGACTTCTGACGTAGATAGTTGGTAGTTCAGAAGATGGTTACTCCGTTACTGCCAACTCTCTGCCATGCTAATTGCTGCTGATGACACTTCCAACCTGATAGTTGAGTTGCCTAATGCAGTATGAAAGAGAACGGTACGGTTCCTCAGCTACATTAGTGGTCTTAACACACTTAGTGCTTTATCCTGGCACTGGTTATGATCTTTTTCCTTCCTGTAGAAATGTGATTTCACACCTCTATCAGAGAAGGGGGTGTGTAAAGAATTAAAAATGTTTCTTATGTTTGTAACTCAACACTTGCTATCCTTGACTAATTGTGCTCACTTCAGTTAAACTTTCAGTAAGTCGCTAGTATTGAAATAATAGCTAAGCAACTGGAAACCTAGGCAAGTATCTCCCTGTGAAAGGAAGGTTGGTTGGATTTTTTTACTGTTAGCCTCACTTAAATACACTCAAATCCACCACTTAAAGGAAATAGCCTCTCATTTTGAATTGTCTGATGTGACCTCTTGGCAATTGAAAGAAACGAACAGTCTCCAAGCAGTTTTGGGGATGGGTAGCAGCAACAAGGCTAGAAAGTGTTGAAGCCCACACATGTAATATTAGGTATTTCTAGTGCATTTCTCCCACTCTTGTTTCAAAGTCAGAAAAATCTATTAAAAAAAACAACCTTAATTTTCTACCATTACAGTCAAATGCTGAAATGAAACCTCATTTTGCTGCCAGCAGTTGTAAGCTTGCATCACCTGTGTTAAGGAAATTAGCCAAAGAGGCAGGGATGATACGAAATGTTTTTTTTAAATGATGCAGCCTAATGCAGATATGGGGGGTGAAAGAGTACTACATGATTTTCAACAGCTAATGAAATTGTTATACCTGTAAAATATAACATTTGTTTTCTAGGTAATGCAGCTCTGCTTTTGATCCTGTCAATACAGCATTCCTTTCCTGATCACAGTAAAGTGTACCTGTATCTTATCCTGGGAGTCCTGGGCCTGGAGCTGATTAGCTCCCTGACATGCTTAGTGATTTACACAGGTGAGAGGTGACTTTTGCCTTCTTGGGTGAGACTTCTTATAGCTGCTGCTCAACTGTTTTGTTTGCCCTCACAGTAGCTTGCTTGAGGTACCCCAAGATATTTAACTGCAACCATAAATACAGAATGATTCTGTGCTTGTAGAAGGAGAGTGAAGGCAAATCCAAGACAAATGGGAAGGTTGTCAGCCTTGATTTGGTCTCCAAGTGCTGCTAGATGAAAGCTCTATGTTACCTCAAAGCTGTTGATCCAGTGAAGTGGCAATAAATGCATAATTGTTGCAAAAGGGTCCTATGAACAGGCTTGTCTATTTAGCAGTGTGTTGTTCTGAAATATGTGCACCACAAGCTGTGAAGCAGAAAGAGCAACTGGCTTCATCAGAGCGGCTGCTGGGATTTACATGTGGGACTTGCATAGTTGGTAGTGTGATTGTGCCTTACTCTCCGGGCTCTTTCTCTTTACCTGGTCCCACCCCAAAAGTTACAGTTGTTCTTTCACTAAAATGGAAAATTCCCTCTAATGAATGTTTAAAACAATCATGGCTCTTGGAATCTGTGCTAATACTAAAATAAGATACTGCTTCATAAACCTGTATGGCATTGTTGTTGGCTTGTAAGGTTATGTGCTTTTAGGTTTGGTGTAACTTACCAAGACTTGATAAACTTCTTTCCATTAAACTGTTGCAGAACTATCTAAAATGTTGATTAATAAATGCTTGAACCAAATAGTTTCTTCTGATCTTATCTTAAACTGTTTGGGTTTGTGGCTTGCATTAACTCAAATAAAAATAACTGAGTTGGAGGAAAAAAACACTGAAAAGGTACAAGACATTTAAAAAAACAATTTTTGTTGCCTGAAGATAGATGTTTACTGTGAAGTCCATGGCTGTTTAAATAACATGTAGTTCATGCTCTTGAGGTAGATAGCTTATACTCCTGCTTCTGAGGTGCTGCTTTCTGATTATTTACAGCTACAAACAAGGAGATGTAACACCTTGGCTAAGTAGCCTCAGTAGTGCTGGTTTCTCTGGGGGTGGAGCAGGGGGAACAAAACCAGTGGATGAAACTGAGTTTGTTCCTGACTTCTAATCAAACAGGAGGAAGGAGAGAGGAAAAACCTCCTTCAGGACTGCATGAAGCTTAAAGTAAAAGCCATTTCTATGGTGGTCAGTATTTGTATTAATCTGACTTCTTTTGTGATTTCGTAATTAGTAATTAATCTAGAATGTCTGTTCTTTAGGGCAAGAAAACTTGGGTGTGTTCTCACTAATACAATGATGCAGAAATCCTGCCAGGTAGCTTGGTTGTCTAGGAAATAAAATCTATTCTTGACTTTCCTGCAACAACACTGAAATCAAAACGCAACAAGAAATAAGGTCCTAGCTCTAAACTACCTCCTCTTCCAACTGTGCGGAGGCCTGAATGCTGTAGGCTTGTCAGGCTTTCCCCTGAACAAACCAGCGTGGCTTAGGTAGACTAACTGTCCTTGGAAGGAATAAAAGGCAATGATGAGGGAATGCAGCATGGTGGTCCCAGAGAGCTATTCCAAGAATGCTGGAGATCATCCCTTCTTTGCATATGCGTACTTACTTTCTTGGGAAACTTGGGGAAATAAGAGATAAATTGCAAAACTTTAATAGAACATCAGGAATTCCAGTGAAATGCTATTTCTTGCCCTGAGGGCTCTTGGAGCTCGGAGGGCTACATTGTGTGTCTCGTCCTGGCAGAAAAGGATAAGCAACTGCCAGAAAGCTGACCTTGATAGTAGTAAGGTGTGAGCCTGGACTTCTGTAAGAGCTCTCAAACTATAAACCATCTTTCTGCTTATTTGTCACCAAAAAGCTCTTGTTTCCTAGCTTGTGCTGAGCCAGCTCCTGTGCCCATCAAATCCATTACCCACCTTACACTAGGAAATTGCAGGGTGTGATGTTTTGCTTTCCAGCTGAAGGAGGCTTGAAGAAGGGTCCGGGGAGTGCTGGAACCAAGGTGAAGGAAGGGCAGAGCTGCCTTGCTAGGAAGGAGTAAGGCAGTGCCTTGTGGCAGCAGCTCCCGTATTTCCTCAGCAGCCCCAGAACGACGGTCTAAGCTTCCTTCTCTAAAGCTTAGTCTGCAAAACTAGGGTTAATTTTTATGTAACTTAACACTTGCCTCAAGATGAGGAAGATGTCCAGTCGCCCTAACTTGCCTTTTCCAGTGGGTAGTGCAACTTGTTTTCCAACCCGATACATGTTGAGGTAGGTTAAGAGACTGCGCTTGTGTGTAGTGGTGGTTTTTAAGTTGTTTTTTTAACGCTTTAAGCATCAAACTAAAGCTCTACTGAAGCAAAACAAATGTATTTGACCAGTTTTGGAAATAGCCTGACTATCTGTAGTAATAGTGACACTCGGATAATTTTTTTCCTCTCAAACAGAGCAGAGTATGTGACTGGATAGAAGCATGAAGCTTCTTTAGTAGGATAGTTGTAAGGGCAATGTTGGAGTGCCCCTGTCCAAGGCAAGCACCTAACAGATAGCACTTACTAGTAAGATAGTATCAGCTAACGTAGCTGAGCAACAGTGGGGAGATTAAAGTCACTTTACACTACCAGCTCGTGATCAACCCTTGTGTTAGTATATTATTCCTGAACTTTGAAGGAAGGTGGCATCAGTTCATATATTGTTTCTCCAGGGTGGAATAATTTCTTAAGCACTTATGCCTCATTCTAGTAGTTATCTGTAGAAGGTTCATGTACCTGACTGCTTTTCATGTAAATATTACTGCCTCATGAAAGTGATGGTGTGGAATACCTGATTGTAATTCTAGATACGTCTTCTTGCTTGTGGGAGCTATTTTGTGAGTTCTGTGATGCCCAATGTCCTATGAAATACTAGTATCTTTCTTGAAACTATCTCCATTCAGCAGTGTGTATATATATGTAGCTGTAGGATGCAGAGATTCAGAATCTGCAAGGAATTGCTGTGAGTGACATATAACAGACTTGACATAAATCATTCAAGTGAGATAAATGTGCATGGAATGAAGTATGATATAGACAGCTCTAAATGTCAGCTTACTGTTGTAAGCTTGTTATTGATAGGATAGGGAGTCAAGCTTTAAAAGGTTTACTAAATATATGTATTTAATGACTTCCTTACATACTTCTAATATCACTTGAATGAAAGGCTAACATTCCCACAAACTGTGTGTGTTGCGAATTCCACATCCATTCCCTCATGGCTTTATTTGTAGAGGAATACTATCACAGAAATAACTAACCTTTGAGCCTAACTGGTAGTTAATCTCTGGAGTGTCTTAGCATCGTTTTAGCAGGGTGGCCTGTAATAAATGCCATCACATTATTGACTTATAAGGACAGTCTTTTTCTGCTGCAGTAGTGTGGATTTCTCAGAGTCAGACTGTAGTGTTTTTAGAGGTATTGGATGTATTGCCTCATAAGCAGCCCTACCAGCGGAGTCCTGAATACATATTCAGATCTCTCAGTCCATTCCTGAATCAGGATCTGATATTGAATGGCTTCAAGTATTTTTCAGCTTGCTTCCCAGAAATAATGCAGAGGGTGCCTACAGCTTTTCCCACTCCCACCCATCCCCGTTCCTCATCTGTTCGATTTAGTTTTAAACTTTATTCAGAGGTGCCCAGCAACGACTTCTGGTTCTGATATCCAACATTGCAGGTTCACAGTGTGAAGCTGAGCACGGAGCTGCTCTGGTTTGAATACTTCATGGCTTTCTGAAACAAGTCTGCCCTAGTTTTAGAGCAGGCAGGCAAAGCTGCTGCTTCATTGCAGGCAGCCTAGTTAAAACAGTATTGCTCAAAGAGTTTTAGTTAGAAGTTGTGACCTAGATAGTAGTATCAAAACTTTTTACAACTTTTTTTTTAGGGCATGTTGTTTAATTTATGGCCTGAATTTGAAGACTGACTCTCAGTACTCTCTCAAACACCTCTCTTAGGTGACAGATTAAACTTTGCAGATGTTAAGCAGTATGTTTAAGCTTCCCCACTCAGGTCTTCACTTCACTGGGGTCTTTTAGGCAGCAGGGCCGAGGTAAAACAAACAAAAACACCCCACCAAACCACCACTAACTTATAATCAAAGCCATGCCAGAGATGAGCAGAGAGATTCTGCTTTTTCTTTCCTTACTCCCCAGCTTCCCTTACTGTCTTTGCATCTCCTATCCTAATGCAGTCTTATAACCATCTGTTACAGACTTTTTTTTGTTTTTAACTTGGAGCCTGGTGATAAAGCTTTTCCTTTTTTGGTTGCTTTCCAACTAATATATAAAACTTTATTGCAGTGAAAATAAGCAACTTCAATCGTGCGAAGCCAAGACCTGACATAATTGAAGAAGAAAAGATGTATGCCTACCCTAGTCACATTACCTCAGAAATTGGATTCAGGTAAGATTTTTGGTATTAATCTGGTACTGTGTTCAGCCGTGGTATATAGGTAACTCTGACTAATGTAATTGCATTACTTTCTGTAGACTTAGGTATAGTCTTACATTTGTCAACCAAAGCAGAGGTGCGAATAATAGTTCTGAAGGAAAACTATATGCTTAAGGCTGCCATTTTACATGCACAGATGAGAAGCAGCAGAGTCTTGTCGTTTCTATGTAGGAATGGCAATTTTTTACGAGGCAGAAATCCTCAAACATGAGGACGGAAGTGATTTGACCATTTATGGCTGGCTGCATGAATCTTTTGTGTGCTATAAATAACTGCTTAATCTGGTTTAGTTGACTTATAGGGGAGTTTGAGGACAGATACTGGTGCCTTACACAGTTACGTAAAGTATGCCTACAGAAGCCTAGCTTCTTCAACCAGCTCTTTTGGGGAGGGAAACGTGTTGCGGGCAGTTGATAGAGGAAGAAGAAAACTTGGCAGCTTGGTTCTCTGCCAGCAGTTGGACATGAGATTCTAGCAAGGGATTTGGAATATATTTCCAGTTTGGGAAGGAACTTTAAAGGTCGGTGGGGCACTTAAGAGGTAAGGAAGGTCTCAGTGAGACAGAGAAGCTATCCACCATTAACCTCACAAGCACCGAGACTTATTGCTTGTTTGTCCTCTGTACCTTCCAACTGCTTGAACATCTTCCACTTGCTGAAATGAGTCTAGTATGACGTGGCAAAACCCAGTCATCAAAACTAACATGGATTTCCATATAAGAATTTACCTAAAAATTTTCTAATACAGTATGACTTGCTTTGGTATGTGTGCCTTAGCCATCTCTGCGCTTCAGCTCTTCACTAATACTTGGGCACTTCCCCTGGTGTCACAAATGCAGCATGCACACGCTTTTATGGCACTTGGAAGTGGATGTCCAGGATACAGGAGGCATTTAGAGTTGTCTTGAATTTTGCTACAATGTCTGACTTCCATCTTGATATGAACACCATGGTGAATGCATGGTGGACCTCATTCCTTTCTCATTCGGCTTCTCCCCTGAGAAATTCTCAAATGCCAAGGGAACAAGTCTGCAACAATGACCAGCTGAAGAAAAGACTCATTATTTTTAATTGAAGAGTGTGAACTTCCTGTGAGAACTAACTGTGGAACAGTTACTTTAATTCAGCTCTATACAGCTCTGACTCTATTTCCCTTGAGAGTGAAGGTCTATTGAAAAGTGAATCCTGTCAGCCCTTCGGTTGACCCTGGTTGTAAGAATGTTTTTTGACTATTATGACCTCTGAAACCTAAGCTACTGATCAGGACCTCTTCTGGTGCTTTAAGTTGGTAGCGCAGACTACTGGTTAAGGTTGCAAGCTTTCTGTCTGTAAAATTTGTTTTCTTTATTTTTCCCAGTTTAACTACAGTATGTTTTTAGTTGGACCTAAGCTTTTTTCCCCACTCTAGCTATCTTCCTCAGCACTTCCTAAGAACTATGAAATATTCCTCCACAAAATGCTGCAAGGCTGAGGAGCAACTTTCTAAGCTCCAAGGTGCTCACACATGTACTAAGGGGGCAGATTCCCAAGTCAGCTAGGAAGAAATAATGTGCAAGGGAAGACTGGGATATGCTCAGGCACTGGTACTTGTTCTTGCTGTATTCTTAAGTTCCTAATTACAGATTTGACAAAATTCTGTACTTTTACAGATTTTTCTAATTGAACTTGGTTTACTTAACTAGTATAGTAATGCTGCAATGTTAAAATTAAGGATGGCTGAAGCTGGAGGTATTTAAAGTGGGAGAGTAGCTGTAGATGAGGCTGTAGTTCACAACTCTTCGGTGCTGATGCTGTTACTGTATTGTGACAGATAGTATCACTGTATGTAGTAGTATATCATGTATGCTGCTGCAGGTTAATCAAGAAGTTTCTGTCTTAAACCAGCTTCTGATTCCCACAGCTGAATAAAAATACTAAACCTGCTTAAAATAAGCTTTCTAATGTATTTGGAAAAGGTGCCATGGATTTCTTGGTACAATTCTAGCATGTTGCCTGGAGCACTAACTTGTAAGTTTGTTCAACCCTCGTACTACTACAACTTTTCTGTAGCTGTCTAGTAGGAAATAGGTAACTCGATTATGTATACATGGCATGAAGTTTAGCCAAACTTTTTTCTCTTCTTGCTTTCTCATGCAGAATGGAGGTTAAACATAAAGGTGTTGTAGGTGGCCTCCTCACTCAAAAGTTAGTTGAGATCAACAAAAGTAAAACTGAAGGAAGCAACTTGTTTAAGTATTTGTTAATTAGCTCTGACACTTTGTATGTGAGAAAGCTGCTGCTGCTGCTTGAAACCCACATTCACTTTTGTTATTTCAAGGGAAAATTCAAGTTTAGAAGAGATAGTTGAGAAGCAAGGAGACGTAATAGAATATCTTCAGCGACACAATGCACTGCTCAGCAAGAGACTACTGGCACTAACATCTCAGCAAATCAAAACTTGACAGCACTTGGAAAACTGCTGCTGGAGCTCTGGAGGGAACACGAGGAGATGCAGTATCCAGACTGATTTGTACAGATGACTCTTCTTCAATCATCTTTCACATTTTGAAATAGAAGTTAAACTGGAAGGATGAGCTCTGCATACACTATAGAACTGTTACAACTGGATGCTCTGGCTCTCTTCAGATCATCAGTTCTGAAGAAAAGTTCTGGAGCTTCAAGGATTTTTTTTTTTAATTCCTGGTAGGTTAAAGTTGGACCTGAGGTAATGGTTTAACTTTGTTCAGTTGTTGCTATTATTTTGTACTGCTGTAACCTTTAAGCTTCAAGCTACCAAAGTATTTTATATTTCTAGAATACAAATTTGTTCTCCAGAAAAACCTGACTTTGTGAAGGATGTCCTTTCAGTTTCTAGCGCTGAAGCTGAGACTAAATGTGTTCTGTTGCTCAGTCCCATTATTCCCAGTAACACTGGGTGGTATACTTCAGTAATCCTATACAAAGTAGGCAGATGCTTTCTAGAGCGGTTGTCTTTTCTCTTTTGTCAAGGAAAGGAATGAAACTGTTGCCTGTGCCAGTGGGGAAATTTGACATCCAATTTAGGATTTTAAAAAAAAAAGGCGGTGGGTGCCTAGAATGGCAAATCTCACACCTAAGTGTGTGGTAGAAAGCAATGCCACGGTAACCAATTTGAGCAGTTGTTAGGAATTCTGGTTTTAAAACCTGTGAGAGGGATCTTCATGGCTGATGACTTTCCCCTTACTAGGAATCTCTCAGCTAATAATCAACAAGATTCCTACTCTGCCAACTGAACTAACTTACTACAAAAATACTTGGGAGTAAGCTTTTTTCATTGACCTAGTAACTAACTTGTGTTGAATGGGTTCAAAGATCCTGTTAGAGATGCATCAGTTAGATGCACCCTTGCTCTTTACTTGGACTCTTCAAAAAAAAAAAGTCAGCATCTTGATTCACAAGCTCAAGTGGTGTTTGTGGGGAGGTGAAAAGCAGCAGAAGACAGGAAGGTCTTCTAGAATTTGGGGAAACATGAATATTTGGTTCTGTTTCATGGGTTTCTTGGGAAGGCTGGTGAAAGAACCATTCTGTTCTCGGTACTACTTTGTCTACCAGAGTAGACCGACATTTTAGAAGCCAATCCCTCTGGGGACAGGGTAATCACTAGTCAAAACTGGGAAGAAGGATCTCATGAGGAGTGGTCTTATAGTTGAATAGAAGAAAAACAAAAGAGAAGTCATCCATCCTGGTTTGGTCCTAGGGCCCAACTTTAGAAATAACTGAACTGTTTAGTGTGCCACAAACGTGGGGATTGTCTCATTTAAAGGAAAACAATAAATACTGGAGGTTTTGCTGCTATCCAACATGAGACTGTTCTCTTGAAAATGCAGCCAGGATTTTATAGTATGCATGTAAGGAATACAAATGTGTTTGGTTTTAGAACTCAGGTTTTGATGTGGTTGTGTAATCAATGTATATAATTTCTATGAAAAGCAGTAAAATGTGACTGAAGTTCATGCACAATAAATGCAACTAAGGAAAAGTGATTTCTGTCATTTCTAAGCTCATGTACAGCTGGTGAAGACTGTTCCAATGAGCAATGTCTGCAAATTTGTCTGTTATGCTGAAGTTCTCACAGCACAGTTCTGAGCACTCAAAACGAGCCAAAAACTGTTATGACATGGATAGCTGTGCAGTCATTTCAAAGCTTTAAGTTTAGTTTCCTAAGTTTAGTTTTATTCTATCCCCTGGGTAATGTTTTTCCATCACACTTCAGACTTTCCCTGCTATTCCTGTTTCTCTCTAACATAAAGGAGTAGGCTGCATAGCATAGGAGAACAACTTTACTGTATTTTGGAGGGCATTGCTCGTACCCTCCTCCTCTGTGAACACTTCAGATAAAACTTGGATTAACCAGCAGTATTGCTTTCCATGGAACAGGGCAGCTGGAAAGCAAAGGGCAGGCTGCCATGTGTGAGCACACACATCTGCCTTTTGTAATGCATAGCTCTTGCTAAGTACACAACTGATTAACCACTTGCAACAACCACTCCCCATTTTTATATCTTTATTACACCCCCACTGTATCTGGTTTTCTCAGCGGGTGGTGGTAGAGCTGGTCAGGGAGACTCGATGGGCAAGCTGGTGCTTAGAATGCAATGTGAAAGGGGGAAATGGTGGTGGTGGTTGTGCAAGCGAAAGCTAGGCTGTGGCCTGGCTGTGTCTGGCATGCTGCAGCTCTGGAATTAGAGGCAGAGTCCTAATTTTTCTGGTTATGCTGCATCTTGCTTATTGGAAACCTCTCCCTCGGTGCCAGCATTGTGGTGGGTAAGGCTGGCTGACCAGCTTCAGAGCAACCCGTGGTCCATCCCCAGTGCTGCAGCTGGGGTGATGGTCCCTGCAGCATCAGCACCTAATCACGGGCTGGCTCTTACTCCAAAGTAAAATCCATAATGTGCTGCACACTCAGTCAGCAGTAAAGTGTCAGGTTCAAGTTTCAGGGGAAAAAAAAAAAAAGTATTGCCTTGTGAACATGGTGGCTTGGACGTGCTCTGCTGCAGAGCAGCGCTTTGCAAACCACCAATGCAGCCCTTCTTGGGCATGGTGTGGCAAACCTGTGCGTAGGTGAATGATGTCAATCAGAACAGCTGAAGATATTGATGGTGCTGAAATGCAGAAGTATTTGCAGGTCCATGGTCTTAAGTTGGTAAAATCTAGTGGACTGCAACGGGACCAGCAAGAAGATAATGAAAAGGAAGGAATGTTTCCTAATATGTGTACATTTAAAAAGCATACTCTATTTTTTGTTTCTATTACTATTCAGTTGTACTCCAATACCTTCTTGTTTCTATTAAAAAAAAAACAAAACAAAAAAACCCAAAAACCAAAAGAAAAACAAAACCAAAAAACACCAAAAAGGTTGTATATGGTTTTTCAGGTTTGGGAAAACAAGTGTTTCATACCACCTAAGAAACATAAAAGACTCAGGGTTGTCCAAAAATAAGTTCACACTGGGGGTTTTTAATAATTTCTAGATGAAATACGCTAAATATTTTCTACACATGAAAGAAAAGACATTGTGATGATCGCTTGTGAATGCACACGATATAGAAGGGAAAAAACTCTCAGTCAGTATTTGTGTTTTGTCTTTCTGATTAGCTCATAGTGGAAATCCTATATAAACACTTTTGTATTTTGCTTTGCAAAGGAAATCACTGATCGTAGAAGATTTTAACAGGCATTTTGTGCTTTAAGGTTCTACACCAATATGCAGTTAAGAGCCGGCTTGCCCCACTGAAGGTCATTCTTAATTTTAAAAAGTTGTACTGAGGACCAAAGGCACTTGGGCAGACAACAATCTAACCTTAAGGTAACTCAAGAGACACAAAAAAGCATCCTCAGCGTTGGAACGAGTCAGGCTTTCAGGCATTACTGTGAACTAAAGACACGGGTTGTGCTGTTGGAGTGTTTCTCCCTTGGCACAAATATTTTGTAGCAGATCACCTGCAGGAAAGATAAAGGCCATCACAGTAGGGAGAGATCAGTATGCTAATTGTACTTGTCTGATAATAGTCAAACACTTGAAACTTATTTACCATGCTAATGCTTCTCCTCCTGGATGTTGATGTAAATCTTATGGGACCCTTAGCAAAACTTGGCTTTGTGTGTACGGACACCAAGATATTTATAGCACATGTATGTGGCGTAAGGGAAATATTTCCAGTCTTTATTCTTCCATAATTTCCTTTTTTCCATGCTGGAAAGGGAAGAGGTGAATTGTTTGTTCTCCTTTGGGAACACACTAATCTGCTGTTTCTCACCATAGGCTTACATTTACTTCTATTTCCTGTTGACCTGCTGTTACATCATTTTGTATTTCACTCTAAAATAGCCAATATAATTTAAAAGACTTAATGAAGCCAACTTTCAAATAAAATTGAAATTTTTACCGCACAATTTACCTACAAGACAAGGCATTGGTTCTAAGTTTCAGCACCTCACATTTTGCCTTTCAGAGTTCAAGGTCTGAATCTACCTTTGGATCAAGTTGTGATTGTTAGATTGCATCCACGCAAACATCAATTCTGATTTTTCAATACACAGCGATTTGTATGTGTACAAACTTCCTTTAAACGTCTGCTCCTACAGGGAGAGTTCAGGCAATCGGGCTGTTGTAGCACTGTGTGCAAATTGCTTCGTATTTCTTTACATCATTACACTGTTATCATGCAAAACTATTTTTACCAGATGATCCTTAATGTTGTGCCAATCAAATGAAAATGGGTAGTTTCAACAAAGTCCAAGGCAAGTCCAGCTCAGGGGAGAACCATGTCGTTTGAAGCCCTGCTCCCACCGAAGTTGTGCTGTAGTAGCATCCCTTGGCTCTCTAGTTCTACTGTGCAAGACATCTAGCACCTAGAAATTTGTTTCCAGTATCCATCCTTTAATAGGAGAAGTTACCGCACACTTTCGCTTCTGCTATGCTTCCAACTGCTTCTGAGCTTCTTTTTTTTTTTGTCCTGGAATAAGGCCACTTTCTTTCATTTCTGAGAAGATCCAGATTTCAAGATTTCACACTCTTGAGCTAATTAAGAATCTTGCTTATTCTAGGCACAAAGACAACGCATAGTCTGGGTTCTGCTGTAATCCTAGCGTAGTAGCATGATGTCATGTTACAGCATGCTGGGATTATACCAACCAGTAGTTTTAAACTAAATTCTTTCCATATGGCTTTTGTCAGAATTTCGTATTTTTAGAAAGATAGAAAATGTCAGAAATATGTTTCCACGAATAAATACTACTTATTTGTGTCAGACATTTTTACACACCGATTCCATATGAATCTGCAGGGAAACTAGACAAATTCTCCCCTTTCTTTAGATGCATTGCCTTTGACAGCTGAAGAACATACATTTTGAAAAGCGTACAAAGTTTATTTAAAATGAGATGCTGTTATTTGAAGTGCATACTATCTTTTTACAAAATATACAATTAACCAGCTAGTTGATAAGCATAACTATCAAAGCTCACAATCCATGCATTTTTTCAAAGAGGATTTTATGGTATCAGCCTGTCTAAAAAGAACAGAAATTTACAGTAATTTTGTAGACTGACAATGGGCCTCCTAGGGCGCTTTGGTACTTTTATTTATTTTTACATCTGTAAAGGAACATGCATATATAGCTCTCTGATAGATACATTATGTTTTTCTT